CCTCTGACACACTTCATAAAATCAATATGCTTTACCTGTATGAATATGTAGATATGCATCAAAAAGTTTTCTTTAATCTTTTTATTTCTGATTGGAATTTCTGATCCTTTGACTTTATGATCACTCATTATTTTTTCATTCGAAGAAAAAAAAATATTTATCAACATCTAGAATTATGAAGTATCTAAAAAAGTTTCAAGTCCAATTTATTTATTTAACTTTAAAAATAGAAGGTTAGTAGATATATTGTGTCCAATCTTGTAGGAAGTTATGGATAGGATTAATAATAAATAAAGTGAAAAACAATATTATTATCCACATAGAGTGATTCAAATAGAATCTTTATTTTAAAGAAAAGAATCGTATCGAGAGAAGTGTCGTTACTTGACAGAGTTTAGTCGCAGACTAACTATAATGTTAAAAACTATTTTATTGTGAGGTCTAACCCTCTGTATTGTCCTTAGTAAAACACATGTTTTTCTTCTTAACTAAGACCGTAATATTTGGTTATACTATACAGTGTAAAATAGAGAGTCCTTTGTACAACTCAAGTACCTAAGGTCATAAAATCAAGCCTATACAGGCTTTCTTATTCTAGCTGCACAAATGTGCCTTAAATGTGTTTTTCACGTATAAAAACTAATAAAAGAAAAATACGTTATTTTTCTAAAATAAATATTTCTAAGAACTAAATATATAAAATATAAAACTAAAAGTTTGTAACTGGAATTTATTTTTGCTCAGAGAATCCAACAAATCTAAAACCAAGAACTGGTATTTCACAAACTCTTTAAATCTTCATCACTGTGATACATAATCTACTATTTCACAATGGCTGCGTTCAAGCTCCGAGTTTCAATGCCTGCAGCCAGTTGAAGAGGAACAATTTAAGACCAATAGTACACGTCCGAATTCAACTGTTAGGTTGGTTAGTTTATAAAAAACAAATTTGATTTGGACCGAACTGAAATGGTCAGAAACTAGTACAATAAACTTCGAAGGCTAACTGTGATTAGGAATGGTTTTTATTACTTTTGTATCAAAAGATCAATATTTGAGCTTCAGATGACGATTTCCGTGGTAAATTAATCAAACTATTGTGAACAAGCGTGATGACGTAAAATTTTTTACTGTGTAGTTGGCTTATAATTAATAAAACTTTTCAACTGATGTTTTGATGAAGAATTTTCCCTGAAAAAATTTTCGCGTATAAACATGTGGCACATTTTCATATTTGAGCATGTATGGTATATATATGAGAAAATAAAACAATTTAGAGTAATTTTTTTATTTTATCCCGAAAAGTGTACGTCAACCAACATCTCGCGTTAAACAAAATTAGGTTTAGTAGTTGATTGAACTAACTCAAAATGTGAACTAAACTTCTTAGCGGAGGAAAAAATTATTATTATTATTATTATTATTATTATTATTATTATTATTATATTATTATTATGTTAAAACTTAACACCTCAAGTTTGAACTCTCCAGTAGGGAGACGATTTATCGATCGTGCGCTCTCCGTCGGAGAGTTTCAATATTACCTTTGGTCAAAACATTATTTATGGATAAATCAGACCATCTCAACTCTGAAAAAAATAGTGTTCTGCTCGGCACTATCTACTGTATTGCAACAAGTGTATTGTTCCGGGTGCAATCAGTATAGCTACAAATAGCAGTCTGGATAGCGACCGTCACCATCCATTCGGGTGCCATTCACGATACTATTGCTACCGTTAGTATACAGTTTTCCTTACCTCACTCAACTATCCTCTAGATAGTAACGTGTGTATCGTGACAGTAGCAATATCGTATCATGCAGAGCAGAAAAAAATTTTTTTTCAGTGAAGCCATACAAGGATAAATCAAATTTTTGGATAGGAACATTTCAGACTATATCAGAAAATTTTTTAATGGGTTAAGAGAACTAAATTAACATCATTCAAGAATTTTTATCCTAAACCAAGTTACTTGTTCTTCTAGAACGTATTGACTTACTAAGCTCATATTGCATTAGCAATTACTTAAAATCCTTTACTTAGTTAGCCAATGTTGGATAAACCACTTTCGATCATTTATCTTACGTAGTCTAGCTAGGGCGAATTAATATTTACACATAAAAGAATCTGGCATGAAGCCACAAAATTTCGCAGTGTATTATATTATTTTTTGAAATATTTTCTTTTAGTTTTTCTTTGCGTAAAAAGTTAAAGAAAAAAAATGGATAAATCAATTTAACAAAAGCAGTTGGTTCGTACACACTCGGTAAAAGACATAAATATTACGAGTAAGTGATCAAGATAAATTTAAGTAAAACTTTCAGCAGTACTTTTACTGCATACAGAACCGATTGCCCATCGTCTTTCTATAATCCAATGAAATAGGCTGTGTCCTGAATTTATACGATTGCAGAATATGGCACAGATACTTATCTAAAATCTTTAAAATAGTATATTACACTACAAGAGTCAAAAGTTGAAATTTCGCATGATGACCCGCAGTACGGGGTTATCCAATTTCTGTTCGTGTGATGTATACGATTTTTCTTTATTGTCGGTCGAAAGGACGTTAATTAATGACATTTCTATAAACAATAAATTAACGTTCTATCAACAACTCTTAAGCAGCTTATGTTTACGTGGTCTTCAACTTTTGTTTTTCAATTCTTTTGGACACTCACGTAACTTTAGAATTTTTTCATGTTTCTACCGTAATTGTCGAGGCAAGAATCAAAACATATTAAACAAAATTTGAAATCCCAAAAATTAATACAGTTTTAAAATAGTATATTGTGTAACATGGGACGAAAGTACGACTTTCGTACAACCTGAGCCGAAGGCGAGGGTAAAAAATACCCGGGACAGAAATGTAGGACTTTTCGTCCCATGTTGCACATACTATTTTAAGTATCAAAGACGTATATTATAATTGATTGTTAAAACGTTCATTAATATAGATTTAAAAGCAAATAGTAATAAATTAAAAGAGGTAAAATTATTAATTTATTTATGATGAGGTTTGCAATGTCTTTTATCATAACCTTTGACTTTTACAGACTAAGAAATTCGTTTAAAAACGGAGCTTATACGTATTGTGGTCGAAATAAAACTTCGTATGCGTTTAGAGCTTACACAAGTATCGCTGTGCTACCGAAAAAATATTGTGGTGGGGCTAAACCGCCGTATTTAATGCATAGCTTATACAAATGTTGCTATTGTACTGAAACGTATCTACGTCAGGTTTATATATTTTTTTTTCAGTGCCGCTATAAATATCAATGATTTTCAAAAAAATCCGAAAGTTGTTGGCTTCACCTCGATTTTCGAAAATCTAGGATGTCACTTTGTCTATTTGTTGTGTGTGTGTATGTCTTATAACTTTTGATCGACTTGACCAATCGAAACGCGGTATACGACAATGCAAAGGATTTCTCCTAACTTAGATTTACTGTAAATTTGAAATGGTTTGGGGTGAAAGATTTTGAAATATCAAAATCGGTAAATTTCAAAACAAGTGTTTTTTTTTATACAACTCCGTTATTTCTCGATTGTTCCTTTCATGATCTTGTTAAAATCAGAATGAATTTAACAAATTTGAAACATATCATAGTTATTGCATTGTAATTCACCTAATTACTCCAAATCATTCGTTATTTAAATTTAAATAGTTAGCTTTACGTTGTAAAAAAAAAAAAAAAAAAAAGTTTTAATGTTCCGAGATGGACAAAAATGTAACTAATTCAAAAAAAAAATATAATGTAAAAAAAGTAAATGAACTGCAAATTCGTAACGAATAGAACGTGAGACTATAAATCAGCGTAACAAGAAAGAGAATTATTTTCATTTAATTTTATTAAATAGTTTTAATTGTTATTTTTTACATTTTCTCGGTTCGAGTTTTTTACAAAACCACTAGTTGCAGAGAGTTTCAATACATAATTATAATTACCAAAAGGTTTCACTGGAAAATTTTCCAATAAATTCTACACATTCTAAAAATATTTACGTGAAAATTTCATTATATTCATCATTATAATAGCTGCATTTTACTCACTGATTAATTAATTAATTAAAAGTTATTAATTAATAATAACTTAAAAATTTATGAAACTGGTTATTTATTTCGACGCGATCATTAATATTTTAATTAAAGTGTATATTTTTGAAAAGTAATAAACATTGCCTAACAACAATTAAAACTGGATTCGTAAATTTGTAAGAAAAACATTAGATGGATGCGTACCTCAGAACACAATGCGATTAAGGACCACGAGCCAAGTCCAGATTAACCAATTACACACCGGATGCTCCATTAGTTACGCTATCCGGCCCTATATCACTTACCGGACTAATTATTTATACATATTAAGCTTCGTGGTCTATCTTGCAGTAACTGTATGCTAATTAATAATTCAAGAAAAATTACAGTACTATATTACGTTTCTTAATAAATAGTGGTTTTATATGATTTTAATTAATTGTTATAGTTAATAATTGAGTAAATAATAATAATTAATCACTAAATCTCATTTCTTCTTGCCAATTTCACCTTTATTACAATGTAAAGAAGTAAATTCGATAGACCAGTAATGAATTCTTTCATTCGAGAGATTATTGTTAGATATTAAACCCTACCGCTGATCATAAAAAATCGAAAAATTAACTTATTTGACTTTTCTGTCGTTATTTTCATTGTATCCACGGTGGATTTGAAGATCGACGGTTCAAAATTAAGAAGAAAAATTTTTTCTATACTGATGTTTTTCTTTAAAGAGCATGAATATTGACCAATTAGAAAAAAACGTCATGATACACAGTAAAAAATTTTGCGTCATTGCGTCAAAAAATTTTGTGACTGATTATTTTGTTTAATTAATCCATTGTCGATGCAGAATGTTAAATATGATGTACAAATATTGAAAAATGATCACATTACCTCAATTTGTTAATTGAACAGCAAAATTTACGAACTTTTTAAAATTCATAAAAAATGTTTAAATTATGATACACAGTAAAAAATTTTACGTCATTGCGTCAAAAAATTTTGTGTCAAATATTTAACACTTTTTTGTGTTAATTTAACACAATAAATGTTAAATTTACACATAAAAGTGTTAAATATTTAACACAAAAATTTTTAACACAAAATTTTTTGACGCAATGACGTAAAATTTTTTACTGTGTATCATAATTTAAACATTTTTTATGAATTTTAAAAAGTTCGTAAATTTTGCTGTTCAATTAACAAATTGAGGTAATGTGATCATTTTTCAATATTTGTACATCATATTTAACATTCTGCATCGACAATGGATTAATTAAACAAAATAATCAGTCGATACCTCCATTTTATGAATTTTCACAATTTCGGGTGCGGTTCGATTTTATTAATTTTATAAAACTGTAAAAATTTTAGCACCACTTTTAGATTCTTTAATAAACGTCAAATTTTACAATTTTTTTTAAATGTATATAAAAAACGTTTCAGTTATGAAATTTTCTTGTCAATTTAATCAGTTTTCCATGCTTATTGAAAAATGTAATCGAAAAACATATTTTCTATAGGTTTCTTAATTTTATTTATAAATTTACCGCAAAAAAGAATAAAATATAAAAAGAACAGCTTGACGAAAATAAATTTTCAATATTTTATGGTCAAAAAACACTTTGCTCAGACATAATTTGATTTGAAGTGATATAATTTAATGGAGTCAAATTAAAACCTTTCTTGTCTAAACAATCAAAACTATCGATTAAATAAGTTATTTATAATAAAATAATATAAAATAGATGAATTATCAAACGTATTCGATTATAGGTTCTGAAAGTTGCTAATGATTTAATTTATTAACTCTTTAAAGTTTGTGATAAGTATGACTTTTCATTTATTTTTAGAAAAAAAGGTGAGTAATTGTATTAGCAAACTATGAGACAAATTATGATAGATGATTCTTTCGATTAAAAAGTAATAAGTGTCATAAAACTTTATATCTCTGTCAAAAAGTAAACAACATTACTCTCTGATACCGCTTAATAAGTACGGTTTAATTAAATCAATTTAATTTATATATAGAGTAGATTATTTCCTCTTATTTCTTCACTACATTTAAAAAACTATTGACCTTTCGTGATACTAGAAAAGTTTTAACAATTAATATTTTAGCAAAATTGATGATTGACAGAACAATTTTTTTTAAATTGATTTTTCATCATCATATCGTGAGTATAAATAAGTAACACCCTATCGGTTAAATTGCAATTTGTTAATTTTTAACTACGAGTAGAAAATCAATGATGGCGCATAGATGAAACAAGTAGTTCGAATAACTCGAGCATTCACCCTATCCGTGAGACGACTGACCACGAGTGGCGCTATACTACTTATCGTACATACCTTATTTACCATCGACCAAGCGGGAGTCATTCCCTGTTTACCGCTGCCTGTTATAAACTATGTGAAATACGACTTCCTCGCACCAACAGATTGTATCAGCGACATTGTGAAGAGTTGACCTCGTTTACTAGGAACGCAGTGGAAAAAATCGGCCCCGGGGTTTCAGAGAAATTTTTCATCACAAATAACTTCGTTGCTTAAAATCTTTTCAGTGTATCAAATATAAATCTTGTTTTTCTTTTTTAAGTACTGTTTATTTAATTAATAAACATTTAAAGTTTTTAATAATTTTACCCTAATAACTAATAACTAATTAATTATCCTTTCGAATTGGCATAAAATCTTTCTTAACTTATATAGAAGACTCAGATTTAAATGTTCCACTTTTAAATTATGAATCATAATGTCTAGATACGAACAAAATACTAATGATTAAATTGAAAAAAATTTTTAATATTGAAAACCAATTTTACAATTAAAAATCTATTTTGTTATATGAGTATTTAAGCTTTGTTTATTTAAGAAAAATTTTACCAAATATTCGAATGATAATTAAAAAAAAAAATTTATTCTTTCAGAACCATGTGAGAAAACGTATTGTGCCTGGGGTGCAGTTTGTGTTGTATCTGATAATGGAATAGCTACTTGCCAGTGTCCTTCAAACTGTCCAAAAACTCTTGAACATGTGTGCGGTACTGATGACGTTACATATTTAAATCAATGTCTTCTGCGACAGACTAGTTGCCGTGATCGAAAGAACACGCGGGTAAAACATCAAGGTGTTTGTGGTAAGTTTGTTAATTCTTAGTGTCAAGTCATATTCTATAAATAATAGTTTAAAATTTTATTAAATCACAACTTTTTTATAATCACAACTATAACTTTTCGTATAAATTTTATGATTTTTTTTGCCATTGTGCTTAAACAACAGAAACTCCAAGTAAGAGAGAGATTTATAACTTTCTTAAAAATTTGAAAAGTTTTTATATTACCGAATGTATGGTATTATTTAAAATACTTAGTTTTACGTTTATACTTAAAGTGTTCTTAATAAAATTAACTAGAAATCCACGATAGTGTAACCTGATGAAGACATTCAGTTGCCACTAAATTTTTTCATATTTATCAAAATTGCTAGTCAGTATTGAAACATGCTAAATATGCTTTTTTGCTAAGTATAAAAGTAAGAACTAAGTATGACAGTCTAAAAACAATAAATATTGTTTATATGCGAAATGTTGAACACAGTGTCATAAAACGATTATTTAAATTTCACGGTTCATAATTTGCAATGAGTATTATTCAAGAAAAATAATAAAAACCGGTGAAGCATAACTCCGTTTTCACATAAAGGGTTTCGTAGAAATTCATAAAATGTATGATAACATTTGGTTGCAGTCGGGTATTACATCTGTTTAATACTCATAAAATTCACGTGGTTAACGTTGAAAACGAGATATCTTGTGAATCGGTTGAATTTTTTTTTTTAACCGCAGATAAATCACTCATGTTAATTAATTCAAATAATTTAGAGCATATAATAATTCGTTTATATAAACAGAAGAATGATATCACATATTTTTTTTATTGAACACAGGTATTCTTTCATGTTTGCATGTAAGCATCAAGAAATTATCTCGGTCAATACAGAAAAACTTTAGAAAAAGAGATTATTACATGGGCTATACTTCGCTGAAATATTGGATCATGCTAAAAGTTTATATAATTGTTATGAGCTCCTAGAGAGAGTGAAAAGAATTGGTTTTTATATTAAAATTTGACACCTCAAATTTAAATTTTCGCACAAAAACGATTTAGCCATCATGCGCTTTCTGCCGGAGTTTTTCAATATTACTTCTGGTCGAACAATCATATATGACCGCGAAAGGCGGTCTCATATGAACATATGAAGTCATATCAGGACATATCAAATCGTACAAAGTCAGATATGGCCTGATTAGTTAGTTACTAAGACTTCACCATGGAGCAATCACATGTTCCGCACTGTCGAAACTAGTATTAGAAGTCTTCGGTAGATGGCGCATGGTCGCGGAATTGTTCTTTTCTAGATACTTGACTTTGAAGTGTTAAGTTCCAAAAAGAGTAGAATTTTTTTACTCTATTACAGAGTTTACCTGTTTTTGAATAAAGTTGGACAAATAACTAAAAATACTAAAATAAATTTCATATTTACTACGAATTAGTGTTATAAAAATTTTTTAAAAAACAAAATAAAATCAGAAATGATAAATTTTATTTCTTCTTCTGGGTTGTCTACATCTTAATATGGCCATATCAGCCCTGATCAGGCCAATTTCCATATCAGGCCTGATATGGACGGTCCATATCAGGCCATATCAGGTCTGATCAGAATATTTTTTCACGGGTAGTTTTCTATATAAGTAATTTTTATATAATAATAGTATATTTTATAACATATACTAATGTAATATATACGGCACTAATATATTTGAACTTATATTGAATCAAATATATTTTTATTATATTAACAAAATATTTATTATTTCATATATATAATTTTGCCGCTATATATGATCACATATTTCCCAGCCGTATATAGTTTTTTCATGTGGGTATAAAGGAATTTCAGGATATATAAAAAATTGTAGCTATATGGACACTGTTATGCATTAATGTGTTAAGTGCTATGAAAATCCTATGGACTTAACACACTATTGCATAACAGAGTCCATATATAGACAAAAACCATATCAGAAAATTTTTTCATGGATTAATCGTGAAGATTTGTGCTACTGACACAGATCTTTTAATAAGACGTAGATTTCTCTATAAAGGATTAATAATTTTCAGATTATAAACTTAATTAATTTATTTCTGTTATTTTTTGTTAGTGAACAAAAATTGTTCAAATTGAAATAATTTTTTTATCTGGTAATTTTAGCGTTCAGTGAGTTCAAAGGTTAGCAAATAAGATCTAAGATATCTAGTTATGAGTATACAGAAAAACCATTTTATCACCCAAGACGAGCATTGATGAAAAACGGTTATAAAGACGATACAAACTAGTAAGCTGATAGTAGGATATGTTTGACATTTGTCAATTTTCTTACTACGCTAAATGTTTACGTTAGTATCATTCGTCGATGTGATATCAACAGAATTTCTTATTTTATTTTAAATAAAAACCAATGCAAAAAAAGTGAATATCAAAAACAAAATTCGAATTATTTATACACTCGTTTATTCGTGATATGTTTACTGAGCATAGAAATAAAATAATACCTCAGACTTCTGCACGTATTACTGTCACATAAAAAAATTCTTTTTGATATCATAATACCAGTTGTGACTTTATATAACTAGTACGAATTCCATGCATATAACAAATTTAGTTCTAAAGTTAAAAGGTGATGACAACCAGACTTTTAGAAGCGATAGGATGTAGGATTTCTCTAAAACTCAACAAAAAACAAGATCTGAAGTAAAGTATTATATAAAAGCTAGTGAACTTTATTCGGCTTTCAGGATTATAGAAAAGATCATAAGAGCTTGCAAATATACTAGCTTAAAAAGCATATAGATTTAATACGCTACTTTCAACGGTTCTGTCGAGAAAAATATTGCTTGTTACTAAAATTCAAGATGATCTTATTTATTTGCAAACATGATACAATAAATGATTTATATTTATAATCGAAAAAATTTGACTGAAAGAATATTTTGAGATACTTCCTTTATTTCCTAATATTCCTTTCTAATTATTGCATCGTGCATAGAAATCTCAATAAATTAAAAGCTTAATTTTTAAAAAATCTTTTTCTCTCCAGATTTTAGTCAGATAATTATAAATAATTGCACACCAACTACAACTAATCAGATAATAGTATCATGTAATTTTAGTGTTTTAATTAATGCTATCAGCCATTAAAAGCAATACTGAAACAGTCCCTTTCATCGGCTGAAATTCGATTTAAAATGATTTAAACACCTGTTTACACTGACAGAAAATGCTTGCACACTTAGTGAAAATAGTTGCTAAACCCGTTAGAATCCATCCACAATCAGCAAAGCAAATAGCACTACTATGTTCAGAGAACCAATACAATGCTCGTTTCTATCTACTTCTACTAAATATTCTAACGTTTATAGTATAGTACGTAACTCGATTGTCGATATTGTTGAAATATTTATTGTATGCATGTAAGCATTTGAAAAGTGAGCTGATCAAAATATTAATTCTTGTTATACCCGTACAAAAAAAATTTTGGTTCCGGATGAACTTCAGATTGTGAAACAAATATGAATTTCATAATGAATTTCATCTGGAATTCCAGATGGATTTCATGATGAATTTGAAACAAATAGTATATGAAACTTAATTTTTTTAATCAGTAAAAAAATATTTGGAGAAAGATATATTGGAATTTTTAGTGTAACTTACGCTGACTCATTATTTACGATTCTTAAACTTCTATCTGGATAAATTTTTAGGAGTACAAGAACACAATATGTAAAATAATAATTCGAAATTCAATATGAAAGTCAGCTGGAATTCCAGATGAACTTCATGATGAATTTGAAACAAATCGCACATAAAACTTAATTTTTTTAATCAGTGTAAAAATATTTGGAGACAGTTATATTAGAATTTTTAGTTTAAC